GAGAAGATAGGGGGGGGAAGGGAGGAAGAGGCCATGTGAGGTCGGCAAGAACGGCGAGAAGATAGCAAGATGGCTGAGGGAACTGATGAGAGTAACTCAGGTTTAGTGACTGCAAAGAGGTTGGTTGGGTCAAAAGCTCAGGTGTGGGCATCTGGTGTATGGGTGGAAAGGTCAAACGATTTTGGTGGTGGTGGTTGGGGGAAGGGGGGGAGTGAGGAAGAGGCCATGTGAGGTCGGCAAGAATGGGTGAGAAGACAGCAAGATGGCTGAGGGAACTGATGAGAGTAACTCAGGTTTAGTGACCACGAAGGGGTTGGTGGGGTTGGTGGAGTCAAAAGCTCAGGTGTGGGCATCTGGCATATGGATGGAAAGGTCAAAAGGTTCCGTTTAGGAAAGGATGGGTGAGGACACCTGGGAAGGGAGGAGGCCATGTGAGGTCGGCAAGAACGGTGAGAAGATAGCAAGATGGCTGAGGGAACTGATGAAAGTAACTCAGGTTTAGTGACCGCGAAGTGGTTGGTTGAGTCAAAAGCTCAGGTGTGGGCATCTGGTGTATGGATGGAAAGGTCAAAAGATTCGGTTTAGGCAAGGATGGGTGAGGACACCTGGGAAGAGAATTCGCAACAAATACCGGAAGCGAAAAGGACGAGGCTGAGCATAATGTTTGAGAAAGTAGGGGTCAGGATACCTGGAGCGGGCTGAGGAAACAAATGAGAGTATACACTATACACGAATGAGACCAAGATCGGAAGGCAAAAGGACCTCTGAGCAACAAATCTGTGGGAATCTGGGGTCTGCACGCCTGGAACTATCTGGGGGAATAAACGAGGACAAAGACTGGGAGAGAAATGTATGGTGTCCTCTGAGCATGAAATGTTTTGGAAAGTGGGATGAGTTGCAAACCTGCAGCATTGAAGGAATCCGGAGACTCAGAAAAGGTTGCTGTAGGAGGGGTGGTGGATCCATGGAGAAAAGTGTGTATGCGATGAGCCTGACACATGTGTAAAGGAATCGTGGGACATTTTGTGGCGAGATCATGATTGAGAGAAAGGGGGAAGAGAGTAATGGACTGTAGCTCCTGGGGGAAGTATGGAAAAGACTGAAAGAAGAAAGGACGTGCCTTGAGAGGTGTGTATGTGACAAGCCTGCCGCATGTAAAGAAAGGGTGGAACATTTTGTAGCGAATGGTATGAGGGATCATGTCCGAAATCCTTGGGAGGCAGGAAGGTATGGAAGTTCGTAGAGAGGAAAGGGGAAGCGAGTAATGGAGCGCAGCTGTGGAGGTATAAGTATGGAAAGGACCGAATGCAGAAAGAAGTCGAGGACGGTTTGCATGGAAGGTAAGGGAGAACAGAGAGCTGTGGACTGTGGCCATTGAGGGATGTGCATGAAAGGCTGAACAGAGAAAATAGGTGAGGAAGTTAGAGAGGGGGCTGTAGGGAAGAATGGAGCGGGGTTGGAGAGAAGTGAAGACCAAGGCGGAAGGGTGGGTATGACCACGGTCTGTGGACCGGCAGGTTGGGAAGAGCAAGAATGTTTGGTTAGGAAGCTCGAGAGGAAGTGGAGAAGTGGCGAAAGTGGATCCTGCGGGCAGTGCAAGCTTGAGAGGAAGACATGTCCTGAGAGTCGAGAGAGAAAAACACAACCCTACCACTGGAAAGGGGTAGGAGTGTGAGGTTAAAGGTCAATGGGCTGAGTTGGGGGATGGGGCGAAAGTGGAGAAAGAAGGTCGCTTCCAAATCAGTTAGGCTCAGGTCATGATATTGCCGGGTGAAGAGGGAAACAATACCTTTGGTTGCACGGGCGAGAAATGGTGGCTATCATCTCCTCTAATTTTTCTCTTATCTATGTGCAGTGACATGCAACTGATTGCGTATCTCTCTGCAAATCGGTCTGGAGTGGCATGTCAGTATCAGACTTCAAGGTGGATTAAAAGAAATGGTGTCAGTTGGAGGTAAGTGCAACAGGGAAAAAGAGAAGTAGGTCGCGAGGGTAAAAGTGCAAAATGTGTGGGTATCAGATCGTTCTTTTTTTTGTTTGGGTTGGGGGGGGGGGGGGGGGGGGGGGGGGGGATGAGCTGGGATTTGGAGGGGTGCTTGTTTTCCAGGTGACCTGTTCCAACGGCATAGGCATATCGCTCTTCACTGTCTGTTGATGTCTTTCTGACCGTGCATTTTGTGAACAGCAGAATGCTCTGTGTAAGACGTCGGGAGGTTTTAATTTTCACTATTTTTTAGATATCAGGTGGCTGGGAATCAACCGTACCGTAACTTGGTACGGTACAAGGCGGATGGAAGTTTCATTCGTCGTCCAGGTGAAAGATTTTGCAGCACCGTGTGTGGGAAGGTTCGAGTAGGAGCACATCAGTCGTCAAGAGGCCAGCTGGATGCGAGCTTTTAATCATCCTTGCTCCCGTAACTACAGTGATGGACCTGATTCTACGACATGCTGCGATATCCATGATGCTGACCCGCGGTGCTGATGATGGTGAAGGGCTGCCTAGTTGGTTGTAGTTTTGCGTAGGGTTCGAGTGTGTGGGAGTAAGAGTTGGTGGGCAACTGGGAATGCAGGCCGAGATGGCACCAGCGCAACACTTGAAGAAGAAAAAAGAGTTCTTATGTGGTAGTTGGTTGACAGGAGAGTGTGTGGTGTTTAAGACTTTCGGAGTTCACTGTTATGTGTGTCAAACGCACGAGCGGGACAGACTGGTTACCTAAGATACAACGGCATCGGAGTTCACTGTTATGTGTGTCAAACGCACGAGCGGGACAGACTGGTTACCTAAGATACGACGGCAGGATGTGGTCCAAGCTCGCGCCAGTGAAAAATGTGGAGCTGTTGAACAGTGGAATAAGGGCTGAGCGAGCTGGGAGTCTGGATTTCGTAACCGTTGCGGGTTTCTAGAATGCTAGGCCCAGCTGCAATGAACGCTTTGGCAACGGCAGGGATAGAAGGAATCAAGAGTTTGGTTGAGTGTCGTTGGGGTGCGCAATGCACAGGCGCACTTGATACTTGAACGTGCTAGGCACAGGTGCCCTTGATACTTCTGAGTGCTAGGCACAGGTGCAATGAACAGTTTGGAGTGCTGGGCAATGGCGCAGCAAACACTTTGT